GACTTTTGTGTTCCATGGCCATCATTCAAATTTACATAAACAGGCTCTTCAATTACAATTGACAAAAATGTATATTTTCTTTTTTACTATGCATCAAACTCTCAAGGTTTATAAACATATTTATAGGCATTAGTTATAAAAATCTTCTACCAGAATTCATTCCATTCCGCTATGTTCTGTTCACCGATCCTTTAATTTTTTGGGTCTAGTAAATATAAATGATTGAGATTATCAAGCTCTACTTTTTTAAGTTTATCTAGCATTACTCTTCGCAATATTGTAGTATCAACCAAAGTATCCACTTTTACCACAATAAAAACTACTATGATATGAATATTCAAAAGACTAATTAAAAGAATTAAACTGAGATTCATTATATACAGATGGATTCTTATGAATATAGAAAAGAGTGATTTATCATTAAAAAAATTAAGCAAAATTCAAGGATAAGATCTGGATCCAAAGGTGATAGGCATACTAAGAATTTAACATAAGATGTTTCGGAAATTTATTGTGTCCAAAATTTGGGCTTTGTACCATTTTTTTTATTCAATGGTTAAAGGTGTCTGTAATAATTTAAGCACACCTCGACTAATCTCCTTTTCGATTCGGTCATTGCATAACTTCGAATCACTTTCAAGTTAGTTAGAGGAAACATATTGACCTTACTATATTTTCAAAGGTAATCGAGTTGATATAGTCTAGGAAGGACCTAACAGATTATTAAGCCTAGTGTTTAGTTTGCCTTTTTCCTCTTTAAAGGATATAAATGTCATTGACCATGTTGTTCATCTCTCTATCTCAATCACCATTATTGCTAGTATAAATGCACAGGTGTGACTTTGGGTCACATACCTTACAAACACAAATACTAGCAAAGATCAAAAGAAAACCACAAAGAAGAAAGAGGAAGAAGAAGCAACCATGGAAGGCTTAATCCCATTTCTCTTCCAAGCCCTCAAGAAACCGAGACCTCATAACCGTTACCGATCGTTTTCCGAAACCTCGACCCGTAGCTACCACTTGCTAGTTGGAGGAGACTCAGTGGAAGGCTCGTCTCACCGTCGAACCCGGTCGGAGTTTCAGCCACCAACCTTTGATGTATTGCAGCAGAATTCAGGCGTGGAATATTTGTCAAACTCAAAAAGCTTCAGCAGAGGTTCTGTGCTCTCTCCTGGAAATCCAAATGGCTTTAAGCAGATTGGTTCCAATGCTAATTACCAAGTGTCAAAGGGAACCAACTTGAATCGTCGACGATAAAATGAAGTTAGGAGCACGAGAATTCTGTCAGCATGAGTTTCAGGAATCCCATAATCCTCGAAACTATGAAATTTAAAAACTACTTCTAGAATTGTTTCATTGTGTCATTGTTTTATTTATGTAATTTTGGTCATACAAAAGTAAGAAAATGTGAACGATTTGCAACAAATGTTTCAGTAATATGTTGATATTATTTATTGTTTGTACCTGAATTTCAACTTTGTTTTTATTGTCTGCTCCTTTTCTCTAGATATGTGAATATCAATGTTGATGACTATTCTCTCACACCCAGACCTTTTGATCATTCTAGACAAAGTCAGCTTATCTGACATGGATTTGAGTTTAACCTTAATGAGTATGAATCGTAAACATTAACAGATGAATTCATTTGACCCATCAAATAAATAAATCAACAAACACCTGATTAAAGATGAGACGAATTCACTAAATCTACTTATACACAACATGGATTTTGTCATAGACGGGGATCGGCCGGAAAAAAGGGTATGAAAGAGCTTGGCGTGTAAGTAGTGTAATTTCGTGGCATTTTGGTGAGGTTTATAGACTTTTCAAAAGCCTCCTTGTATGATTGGGATGATCAAGACGAGGAAGAAGAAGAAGCGTGTGAAACCGAGAAAAATGATCCATCAGTGGAGGAATACCGGATATGATTTGAGGGAGTGGTATCCAGATGGGATTGAACCAATTTGTGCTATGACGACTGACGAGTAATATTGTTTTGATTTAATTTTTTAATCATATTTGTTAATTTAATTATTTTTTATTGTTTAATTTATAATGGACCCTACTTTTAATTGAGACCTATTATTAATTTAATGATTATAATAGCCAAGATTAATAAGATAAGTCGAAATAATATTTTTCTTTTCTTGACTCGTGCAAGTTGGTGGTAATCTATTCGAGAAAGTATTTGACTTCTTGTGTATGCTGGAACTCATCAACTTGTTGTAGCCATCCTTTTACTGGATACCAAAATTGCTTAATACTATTAAAAAAATTGATGCTGATCTTGAAGAGTCGTGTGTGTAACGTATTGTTTAGGCAAATGACAGAATATTAGGTTGTTGAAAATTTATATTATTCTTCTATTGCCCTTGATAGCATGGGCGGAGTTAGGATTTTGCCTCAGCGGGACAACTTATTCATAACTGATTGAAAAATAAATTTATCTAATTAGATTCAAGTTTAAAAGTTCGTCATTAAGTTTGTTACAAATAAGATAATGGACTACGTATAATCAAAATATAATCTATAAATTCAAACTAAAATTTCAAGAAGTCAATTAAAACAATTTAATCATAGGGAAGAAAAATAACACTAACCAAAAATCTCAAATAGCCAATCTGAACATGGGTTTTAACAAAAATCCAAAATAGTTGAGTGGTGATCAAAGACGAACCAAAAAAAATTCACATAAGTCCATAAATAATATACCAAACAACCATCAATTCTACAAGAGTTAAACTAATTTTCTAATATAAAAAATTGAATTTTAGATTAATGCTAATACTACTATCAAAAAATTTGGTTAATGAATTATCTCTCCTTAGCTTCAACATTATCTTCTAGAGTTTTTTCAAATTTGATTTACACAATAATTGAATTCAATAGGGTGATTTGTTGATAAATACATCAAAGGAACTAACAAAAAAACTAAATAAAAGAAAGAAGAGGGATTGCCGGCTGAACTGTACTAGAAATCTGGACGAAGAAGACAAAGGCTTACGAAACAAAAAAAAAAAAAAGCAGGCGTGAAAAGGAGCTATAGCTTTTGAGGATTTAAAATTATATTAATATACGTTATACTTTAAAAAAATTTCAGTGGGGGCAAGTTTAAAAAAATTTGTGGGGGCAAGTTTAAAAAAAATTTGAAATTTTTTTAATTACACCTAAATCCAATTTTTTTTTGAATTTTTAGAGGGGGCAGTTGCCCCATACTAAATCTGCCACTGCTCAATAGTAGTGCAAGATTCGCGTGCAAAGAAAAACAATTTGTTTTGATAATTGATGTAACAAAAGGAACTCAAATGTCTTAAATTTAAATCTTGTCTATTGCTTAGAATCAAACTATGAGAGATTACTCTTTATGAATTATTTAGTCTCGGCATAGATGGTTTGATTTTGATTGAATCGGAGAGAAGATTAATTGATATAAGAGTAAACTGGTCCGAACACTCCTGATTATTAACAACAAAAAAATTATACCAAAAGGACTGATTTGACACAATTTTAAAAGTTTATGAACTAAATTGAGACAATTAATATTTTAGAGATATTTTAAAATTGGGAACATGATTTTACTTTATTATTCTCATTGACAATCAAATTCTAGTGTGGTACTATCAAAAAATAAAGAGTTGTATTAGGGCATTCCGGCCCTTGCTCAAAGTTGATTTACACTTAAATTCGGGTAAAACCTTCCAACTCTGGTCTTTTATTCAAATTCATGTCAAATGAAGGGGTACTCAATTTTTTTTCTGAAATCTCTTCATCTCCCTCACATTCTCTTATCTATTTAAACGGATTGAGATCTTCTCCATTTTATTTTACCGTAGTTTTACTCAATTTTTAATCACCTACTATTAATATGAGGGGAACAAACTCATACATGATGGGTAATCACTGTTTATAAATGGATCTTGCTCATGCACTATAAATGATTTATAATTGAGTAAAATTCAATGAAAATGTGATAGAGAGAATTTAAATCTTACTTAAACTCAATAGTAGGTTTAAAAACACCACTCATTAATACTTAGATCATTAATCATCAATATTATTTGAGAAGATTGAATTGAATTTTGTTTTCTCAAATCTTAACAATCAAGGGTTTTCTGAATTTAGATGAAAAAAATATAAATAATCAAGTAAGGCAGGAAGATAGTCAGTTATAACCATATTTAAACAAAGGAAGGTTTCATATTAAGAGTTACTATTGGGTAACCATTGATAGAGTATAACCGTTGAAGAAGATGACTATAAAATGAGCAATAAAGAAATAAGGAGATACGTTTTTAAACTCCTAAAAGAACTGCAAATTTGATAGCAAAATTTTTTTTTTTTTTTATTATGGGCAGCATTAGGAGTAGTATTATAGTAGTTTTTAGACTTTAGGGGTTGGGTGGTGGGTTTTGCAACGGGGGTGTTGGGCTTTTGGCATCCCCCCTCTTTCTCTCTCTCGCCTTTATCTAATTTTTTTTTTTTTTTGTGGTGGGTTTTTAGGGTGTTTGGAGGTAGGTTTAAGTGGATTTTCAAGGGTGTTGGTGGTGGATTTTCAATGATTGGATGGTGCGTTTCTATGGTTGAATGGTGCTTCCCCAATATTTTGAGGAAGAACGTATTTAGAATTAAAAAATTTATCAAAACAACTACAATAAATTATAGAAATATTATAATACCAAATATGTTTTTTATTTTTATTTTTATAATTTTTTAATATAAATAATTATCAAATATATTTTATATTTTAAATTTTTATTACAGTAAAAATAAAATTTATATCTGTTTTTTTTTTTAATGTTTTTTAAAAACACAAAAATAAAAACGGTGTATCCACACATAGCTACAATGGAATGGTCCGTTACGAGTTGGGAATAGATTTGGGGATTGGCTGCTATGCTTTCCTGAAAACCCTAATTTGAAACTGAATGTCCTTGTGATGGCGATTCGATCGGTATTCGATTCTTCCGCCATTAGAACCGAGTTTGAGAAGGCCGGAATCAACACCAATTTCATCCATCTAATATGGAAGTATCTCCCTCTCCCCTAAGCCCTCTCTCTTTGTGTGTGTGTGTGTGTGTGTGTGTGTTGAGTGCTGTATATCTTATCGTATGTTGTGTATATATGTATAGGTATGTGATTCAGAACCCTAATTGTGAATTGGACGAAGTTCCTTCTTTGCCAGCCGCAGCTTACCCACTTCTTCGCTCCAAGTTCAAACCCTCCACTTCTACTCTTCACTCCGTCATCGAATCGAGCGATGAGGTCACTACTAAGCTTCTCATTAAGTTGCAGGTATTCCCTCCTTCTTTGCAGGTACTCTTTTCATTGTATTTATTATTAGGTTTAATGGTTTATGCTTCTTATATGACTGTTTGGACTAAGCTTCCCTGCTTCAATCAATTGTGGTACCACCTTGAGCTATGGCCTTTTATGGATAGATGTTCTTGTAAACAACGTCTTCTTATTTAATGCAAACTTGAGTATTCCTTTCTTCTTCTTTTTTTGGAGGTTAGACGAATATCCTACACCAGTTCAGCTCCATCATGTGTCGAATTATGACGTCAAGTAGAGTTCAATTTATTGCGTACTTAAATTATTACAGTTAACTGGTCCATTTGCGAAATGGTCTAGTTGAAGTTACTGAAGTGGGGATGCAGGGTTTCGAATTGTATCGTTGTGGGGTTGGGTAAGAGACCCAATCAAAATGAAAGGAATGTTTTTTAAGTTGTAGGTACTTATGACTGGGCACAGAGTTTGCTTGTCTATTGCAAAGATGTTAATTAGCCTCACAGGTAGTTCCTATCATTTTTCAGAATGGAGCATTTGTGGAGGCTGTGATCATGAGGTATGATTCGCGTTTGGGAAAATATAATGGAAAGCCTCGGCCTGGTGGTCTGAGGTCAACCTTGTGCATCTCCTCTCAGGTGTTCATTCCTGTTTCCTTTTTGGTGTCTTAAATTCAATTAATTGGTTTGATAAATCATTATTTTTAATTTCGTCTGCTTTTACTAAAGGTTGGTTGCAAAATGGGTTGCAAATTCTGTGCAACTGGAAGCATGGGATTTAAAAATAATCTATCATCGGGAGAAATAGTGGAACAACTGGTGCATGCCTCCCGCTTATCGCAGATACGTAATGTTGTCTTCATGGTAATTTCTTTTCTTTTTTCGCAGCATTACTTTGCTATGGGATATTGCTAATTGTCTTATATCGATTGTAAAATGGTTGTCCATCGTTGAATGCACAATCTACTCATTTATCTTTACTATTCTGAGGGATGCACTCTGAATTCGATGCTGTAAGTTCTTGAAAAATATTAGGTCTCTTCTTTTAAGGTAAAAAGCACTAAGAAAATAGCGAAAGAAAAAACAAGATGTTTTAAGAAACTTTAATAGAAACTCAGAAGTAAATATATCTAATAGGCTTATCAGAAATTTACTTCCAAGACTGTATTCTTTCGGCTCGTTTTTGTTGTTTTTTTTTTTGGAACTAAGGGAGATTACGAGTCCCCGAAGAAGATTCTGGCATTGTCTTGTGAGTATGTGAAACGTGCTACTCAAATAAAGGAGAAGCAACCTATTTCAATTTCTGAATTTTTTTTCATTTATTTATTTCTTTGGGTCGGTCTTTATTTATTTATTTTGAAAAAAGTTAAAAGCGTGTTGTGGAAGTTGGTTTTGGTAACAAGATATTTGAAAAATGGAAAATGAAGAAAGTATAAATATGGAAGGCTGTGGTTCCTATGGATACGATGGTTTGGTGTTGGCAGCAGAGGCAGGGAGTTTGGTGATGGTAGTGCATGAAGGCAATGCTGATAAAGGTAATGGCAATGAAGAGAAAGTCATGATCCTTGCGAGTGTTTGTTGCAAATGGAGAATGGAGAACCGTGTTAGTGGATGTCATTCCCCTTAGTTGAAAAGGTTATGGTTTTTTGCCAATTGTGTTGTTCCCAGTTAGGCAATGGACCTATGCTGTAGTGTATGAGAAACCATTATTTATAGGGATAAAAAATTTATGGTGGTATTGTGTAGTGATGATATGCTAGGAGTGCTTTTAGTGGTACTGGCACAATGACAGTTGTGGTGGTGTGATGGAGGTGGTGGTGCCCAAGCATTGTTGGTAGTGTGGTGGTGGCATTGCTAGCAGATCTGCAGGTGGTGGCAGTGGCCTCAGTGATCATCATGATGGTTTGACATGGTTTAGTGGCCACACCGGTTATGATAGTGGTGATGAAATGTATACAACTGGTGATTTATTTGATAATGTGTGGTATGATGCTGATCTAGGGAGAAAAAGACGGTGTTCACCCTCAAAAGCGATCGGGTGAGTTATGGGCAGGCTTGATACCACTCCTTCAGACCCTTCGGACTCCATTGCTTAGGTTTTTCGTTCTTTAGTCCATTACAATTTGTTTTTTTTATGTTTTTAACACAATTTAAATTCATGCAAAAGCACTTGAAATATGAGAAAAGGCTACTGCCTTCCAATTTAGTAATTTTGCTTTTGTTATGGCTTTCATTATTGCGCTGCTTCATCAAACTTCTGTGAATGGATGTTTATATTCGTGTATTATCACATTACACTTGGGATGCTGATATTGTCATCCATTTTCTAGATTTCAACATTTTAAGCTTGGAGATTTCACTACTATTCTCCCAATTGAGTATTAATTACGCACAAATGTGATGATCATTCTTTTTGTGTGCAGGGAATGGGGGAGCCATTGAATAACTATGCTGCCTTGGTAGAAGCTATCCGGGTGATGACAGCATCACCATTTTGGTTGTCACCTAAAAAAATTACTGTTTCAACTGTATGAGCTACAAAACTCTTCTCTGTTTATCATTAACTTATAAAGGATGTTAAGTCTGCAGTATACGGCTCTTGACTGGCATACATGGCTACTGTTGAACACAAGCATATTGTATTTGCGTTAATCTTTGGTAGGTGGGAATTACTCATGCAATCAACAGGATCCATAATGATATTCCAAATATAAATTTAGCAGTATCGCTGCATGCACCAGCTCAAGATATCCGTTGTCAGATAATGCCTGCAGCTCGGGCCTTTCCTTTGGAAAGACTTATGAATACGCTGCGAGAATATCAAAATAACAGGTAGGAATTTGTTTTAGTTCACTGTTTCTTTGGAATACTTCTTCAATTATGTCTCTGGGGATCCTTACTTCTCTGTAGTCATTTCAGATTATAAGAATTTCTCATCTGGCTCAGTTTTTAGTCAGCAGAAAATCTTTATTGAGTACATAATGCTCGATGGGGTGAATGATGAGGCACAGCATGCCCACCAGCTTGGAAAATTGCTGGAGACATTTCAAGTGGTGAGCTCCATATGTTGATGTTGCTTCTAAACTATTTTCTATTTTTGTGAGCCCTCATACTGGAAATTAAAGAGCCTTAAATTTCTGTAATTTTCATGTCAGCCCTTATACCAGAAAATGAATATTCCAACTGGATAGGGTGCAAGAGTATTTTTACTGAACCCTCAGAGTCTTAGTTGGATTGAAGATCTGAATTTTTGCAGCCCTCAACCTTAAAAACAGCCCTCTGATAGTCAGAGACAGATTGCTAACAAAACTATGATTTGCGTATAGTACTTGCAACATATACAATAATGATTTGATTGTATAAACTGATTCGACTGAGGAGCCGACAAGACTGTTACAACTGGCAAAAACTTCTGTACAGGTATATGCTGAAATGCAGAATGAAACCTCTATCCATTTTAAATCAAGTATATCTGAAACCTGTAACCAAATAAATGTTATAGATTTGCAAAATTAATTCCACAGCAAAAACTTTGTATGCTTGAAAATTTGTGTGTGAAATCTCTGCCGAAAATTTCTGAATAGCTAATTTTAATTCTTAGGTGTCTCTGTAATGCATGGTCATGAATTGTCAATGGATCATGTCATCTTTTATTGTTGTAGTGCTAAATTGGTATTTTTAGGCATCATACTTGCAGATCTTACTACTTTGCCAGTAGTTGGTTTTAAGTGGCCACATTTTGCTATCTCAACATTTGATTATATGCACTTTGGTCGCAGGTTGTGAACCTGATACCATTTAATCCAATTGGTACACTCAGTGATTTCAGAACCAGCAGCGAACATAGTGTTACCAGATTCCAGGAAATATTGAGAAGTGCTTATAACATCCGAACAACCATTCGTAAGCAAATGGGCCAAGATATTAGTGGTGCATGTGGTCAGCTGGTGATTAGCATGCCCGACAAGAGGTCCACTGGGAATGAAGAACCCCTGATCGACATTGAAGATCTTCATCTTTAATACTGCCAATCTTTCATATCCTAGTTCCTGTCAATTATAAGGTATCGTTGCCTTCTAAAACTTTATTTACATTCTGGTATGTACCAATTGCAATTTGGCATTGTTTTGGGTCATAGAGATGTTGGTAGAGACAATTTATGACTGTAGGGTACATCCTAACTTGTTATTATCATTCTTGTCCATAGAATTCCTGAGCCAGTTTTCCTGCTGCCAAGGTAAAGGAGGGAGTAGGTAGTTTATAGGTGATTTCCTGACATATCATGTGATACACTACTTGCAAATTGAACCCCTAATGCTAAGACGTCAAGTTGAATAAGCATCTTAACAATTCCTATTTAAGTGTCATGCAAATTTGCGTAGCTTGTGTCCAACTCTGATCTATCATATCTATTTGTGGCTTCATATTGAGCACTCAACCAGCTTAGTAATTTCCATCCACCTTGTTCAATAGCATGTAGCTTTATGTAGAAAAAAGCACGTTTGTTCTTATGACCAAATTTTATTTGAGCTCTTCACCCTTCTCCCCCCCCCCCCCCCTTTCTTACATCCACATGCTCTCATGCAGCATGTGCTAAGAAAAGAATACAGAAATGTAAGGGCAATGAGAAATTCTGTTCTATTATCTAGTGTGGGCACATCATGGAATCCCTGGAGGGGACGAATGAGCATGATTAGTTTCGTTCTTTGGTACAGTATGAATTATAATTTCTTTTTTGCTGCAGGTTTGTAGGTTGAAGAACTGTTGATTAAATCTGAAACCAGAGCTTGTTGCATTGGATAGAAAGAATTTATGTATTGCCTGTGTTTGAAGTGATAATTCACTTTTGACCACTGGTAGGAGATCGGCAGATAACATTGTTACGCAGGATCTGTATCTGCTCAAATTTTGTCAACCTTCTTAATTCTTGTAAATTTATGTGGAAGAGGACATGTTAAGATCACAGATCAGAGAGATAATTCAATAGTGTCCAAAATGCTGCCATTATTGAGTTCTTTTCTTTTTCTTCCCCCAACCCACCCTCTCTCTTCCTCGCCCCACGGATTAGGGGATTTGTAACATTATGGCATACTATTCCAAGTTTTTCTGTGATGTTATAGTAACGTAGTGTTTCAGTTCAGCTAAATATTGTTGGTTTATTGCGAGATTAAAGCAGCAGGATGCAATAATGTTGATTCTTATTAACATACACTGTTCTTTGGTGCAAGAGTGAAGAAAAACCTGGTGACAAAAGTATTAGGACACCACTTGTGACAGTTTGAATATCTCATACAGGCCAAATATTAACGGTACATAAAATTGGTCTTGTGCAAGTCATAAGCCTACAGAATTCACAAAGCAAGGATAAACCAAAACCAATAATGAGTCAACCATGACAATCTCAAACAAATCTCATTATCAGAAGTACAACTCATATTTCCAGCTTGATCCGGGTCCAGGAGGTAGGGAAAGTGCGACTGGAAGGTTGAAATTGTAGAAATCAACAAATTTACACAACTAAAAACAAAAAAAAGGGTTCAATTTAAGTTGAAGCATACAAGCAAGTAGCGAATTTAGAACAGTGGTGTATGGTTCAAAATTGGCACAGTGCTCCGAAAAAATGAACAGCAACAATAAGCTTGCACTTTGAGATATTCTTTAAACTAATTTCGAACTTGAGCAAAATAGATCAGGTCCAAAAAGTTGACTGAAACCTGAAAACACACACAGCAGGCTACGTATGATCAAGAAACTGAAGTGTCATGCCCGAGCAACTCATAGCTATGAAGCCAAGAGAGCTTCGACCTTGGCTATCTGATCCTCTTCATTCTTTGGGGTTGGACTCCTATTAGCATCATCAAAAAGATCATGTTTCCACTTCTCAACACTGACACCACTTGGACGATACCCTTGCACTTCAGTGAACCTATCTCTTCCTCTGTAATTGCCACCACCATCATACCTGTCCCTTGATGAAAAGTTACCCCTTTGTGCTTCGGCCCTCTTTGTATCCCCATACCGTGCATATGGCCTCTCGGGTCTCTTTGAGTAACGGGAGTTATAGTCTCCTCTCTCTTCCCTTCTTTCATTTCCCACCAAAGGGCGGTCAGGATGACCTCTCTCTTCCCTTTTTTCGTTTCCTACCAAAGGGTGGTCGGGGTGACTTGGCTTCACAGGCTCTACTGGTGCTTCATCAGCATTTTGAGAATCCACCACAATCTTTTTCTCTCTAAATGAAGGCCTTTTCTTTGCTAGTGGTTTTGGATCAGCCTCCATTTCAAAGTACCCATCATGGCGCCAAGCATTATCATCTCTACGAACTTGGGATTTCTCATCTTTTTGCTGCACCTCATTAGTTGCCCTCCTGCTTGTTGACCTTTCACTCTGCTGATCTTTCGAATCCCTCCACCATCCACGCTCTTCACAGCAGAGGAGCAGTCAAAAATAATATTGATAATTAGGCACCTCTTAGCACATTTTGTGTGGTATACAAAAAATAAGTGAAAAGCAGGGCTTCTATTTATTTGAAGTTGAAGCCTGTAACAAGTTCTTGATACAACTGTTAATTCTTCTCATCTCTCTCTTCCCCCCCCCCCCCTCTCTTTTTTTTTCTCTTTTTCTTTGGCTGGTATTCTTTGATGCAGCTCAAAAAACAATATATTTAACAGAAAAAATAATAGCACAATCCCAACTTGGATTTTTGCTTTACTTTTGGTCAGTAGCAAATCACATTCACTCATACAAAATACGTAACTTGGGTGGATAAACAAACTCAAAACATTCAAGTATACGATAAATTCATATATTGTAAAAGTATGATGGACAGAACAGGTGGCACCTGTGACCAAGGGAAGAAACATGACATAAGACAAAAGTGGAAAGCTAAATGCTAGAAGTAACAGTATGGAGTACCGAATTTTGAAAAGAAATAGCTTTTATTCAAACTTATGGTAATTCAGAAAAAATTCCAAATCAACAAAACTGATTGCGCACTTTCCTATGTGAAAATTCTCGTAAATTAACATATAAGTGAATCTTATTATCCCTCCACCGAAACTAAAAATACACACAGGTACACATCTGCCATAATAATGTTAAGACTAATAGAAAAACTAAGATGTGGGAACTCACCAGTACCTGCCCTGCGACTGAAGCTTCGACCAACTTGCCGTGCACTACCACGGTCATCATGCTGTTATAAGACAGAGAGGCATGCCTAAGATTGTTATATATGAGGAGGCACTTGCAGGCACCGGGTTGAACAAGAATTCAACTATATCAGTCCAATTAAAAATTTTGAAAGGGCCAACTAGCAACCAAATAATTAAAACTCAAGAGACATATCGACCAAGGGTTCTGGGTAAAAGTTCAGATATGCATATGAGTACTTCATTTGTTCCCTACATCATCCAAAAAATTAACGATATCATGTATAAATCAATAAAGTTCTTTCTTCACTAGAAAAAATTCATGCGAAGATTTCATTAAGCTAACCAATGAGTTACAACTTCACAAGTTTTTTGACTTGTTTTCTGTTCTAGTATAGGTGTTGCCTCTTATAAAATAACACAAAAAGATGGACAAAAAAAAAAGGGATTACTGTGTTGACTGTCTGCCCTCAACATACAAAATCCATGCTGAAAGATGTCACTCAAGGTGTAAAAATCATATTGAGTTCCTGGGTTTAAAACATCATTTTTGTGTATGAGGAAAGGATGGAATAGTTTTCTGTGTTTTATATCTAAGTATATGTTACCTATTAACGACTACCATTTGTTGACAAAGGCGAGAAGAGTTGAGAACAAAGCAGGCACACGGCACATGGGAACCTGCCATACAGTTCAGGCTAAATCCTGAAGAAAGCTAAGATACACTGTTTGACAGTTGGTTGGTCTAGTAATTAGAGGGTGGCCGTTCAAGTTGAGACTTTTACGAGATATGGTCTCTAATGAGGATATCAAAAGAATGGCTAAAACAGTTCCATATACTAATCTTACAGAACTTTTTGTGCTCTTCAAAGGTCATTAGCTTAGTAGTTTATTTTGAAAATAATACGTTAATAAAGTCACATAAAATTGCAGGAAAAAGTCAATTAACCTAATACACAATACTAAAAGTGATTTATCCCAATTGCTGAAGAGCAGATAAACATTGCCAACAGAAAGTGATTGGCTGCTAATTATCAAATGACTCTGATGTTGATAGTTCCTAGCAAACATACATTTGAGAATAAAAAGTGCTTGTTTTTCAGACAAGAAGATCATAATGAGCATAAAATTGCAGGGGTGAAGTGATTAAAATTCTCCAATATGTTCAAAGAAGTCAGTGAAGAAGAAAAAAATCCAAAAATATGTGGGATCCAAAGGTAATAGAGACATCAAAACAGGTTCACCAATATATAAGCAAGGATGAGGTAGTATGGACATTATGATATCTTCATGAATTGACAAAAAACCTGAAAAAAGGATCGAGATCGAGGAACTTCAGTAGATTCAGAAGATTGTTTAGCTCCATCACGGTCTCCATTAGTTTTGTTGTCAGTTTCCTTATTCAATGCTCCAGTTTGTACCTTAGGATCAGGTGCTACTGGGGCCTCAAGAGGCAAAGCATCTTGCAGCCGACGGCGGTGCTTTTGATCCCGAGCTGACTGGTCTCCACTATCCAAATTTAGGCTGTTAGGTGGGAATGGTCTCTCAGTCACTGGTTTACCGTCCCTCCTAGATCTCTTAGGACTGGCAAGAACCATGTTACAAACATTGGAGCTATTTTCAGTTGTAAACAGCGATAAAAGAAAAAAAATTTGTTCTCACGCAATTTAATCCTTCTCAAACCTAAGAAGTACTCCATCTAACAAGTTGGTGCAACAAATTGCATTTTTTGGCATGATATCTCAGTTTTCTTTGAAGCTTCTAAGTTATCTGTTAACCAACACAGATAACCTGTGAAGTGTTATCTGTGAAGCTCCAAGGTTATCTGTTAAAGTGTAAACATAACACTTATAATACATACGAGTTGATTCAAAGATTGAGATTCCAGAACCAACAATTAACTGATCCCATTATCTTCGTGGTAGGAAAACAATCATTTCATAGAAATGATTATTACCCGTCTAGTTCTTTTGCAATTACCATCAAAACAACATTTAGAAAGCCCGAAAAGTTCGACACAGATCTACTGCTCTCTCTCTCTCTCACACGTTTCAGAAGTGAAAAATTGAAGTTTTCAAAACAAAATAAAAAGTTATTCTATATAATTTAACTTGAGCCTTTGCGTCATCTGTAAAATAATAAACTTCTCACACATGAATTCATATCCAAAACTCATTCTTTTCAATTCACCACTAGTATTAAAATAACCCAATGCAGAGAAGTTTGTTTCAACGTCCACTCAAATCAACAATCTGACGCGTATAAACCCTAATTTAGTATGTGGGTTTCCGAATCGGTCAAACGAAGAAACATAAAACAAACACAAAATCCCCTCATTGCCTTACATATCTTCAGATGAACACACTCATATTCAAACAAAAACAAACCTAAAACTAGTGATTCGTCCACAATCATTCTAACCAATTAAAATTAAAATCCATTTTTAATCTGAAAGATGATATACAGAACATACACATATATATACAACGAAACACTTAAAATGTTTCTTGTCTAGGACGAAAAATGGAGTTCTTATCTGCACATAAAATTAATTGGTGCAGAAACAAAATGGGAAAAAAGAAACTTGAAAAGAATTATGAGAGAGGCTTGGTACCTGGGTTCTTGATCGAACCTGGAACGATGGCGTTTGGAATCGGAATCGCGACCTTCTCGTCGATTGGAATCGGAATCACGACCTTCTCGTCGAGACATTCTCAGGGCAAAGTCCTGCGGTCTTGGGGCTTCAAGAAAGATAACTCGGCTCCTACTAGGGCTATTCATACTTTCATAGTGTACCATTAGAAGTAGGAGTAGGGGTGTAATTCTCTAACCCGAATCCGACACCAACCAAAACAATTATAAAATTAATATAATTATTAAATACACATAATAATAAATAGTTTACATTAATATTAAATATTTAAGACACACTAAATAGATTTTTTTTTGTGAGTCTTCATATGAACACGACACAAATAATAATAACACGATACGAATAACATGACATGTGACTCACACAAACACGACAAATTTGACACCCTTAATTAGAAGGCGAGAAAATATTCTTTACGATGCTAATTTTGCGTCGCAATTTGATGGGGTATTCTTATTAATAATATTAAAATAAATAAAAAAATAGATTCTATAAAAATTAATAATCAACTTAGTTTATAAGCAAATAATTTTTCATTCTTCCTCCATATAAGTTTAAGTGGGGTGTTCATCCAACCTTACGTGTAAAAATTATGATATTTTATCTTTTTATTCGATACTTTAAGGAAGAATTTTTTATTGGTTTACTCTACCCGATCAAGTGTATTATTCTTACTCAAATTTTATATAAAATAATTGGGTAGCAAATCGGGTGAACACATATTTTTTAATTATTAATTTTTGATCATTTTAAAATTTTAATTAAGTAATCTATACTAATTAATTAACACAATAAACCAATAAATCTAAAAAAAACACAATAAATTCGATAATATGTAAACAATTACAAGAAAACCATAAAACATTAATAAATCATATATAAGAAAATCATAAACATTAATAAATCACATATAAGAAAGCAATAAACATCAATAAAATATTAGAATTTTTAGATTTTTGGATTGTAATTTTTTGGAATTAACATATATATTGGTAGTGTAATATAGGAATACAAAAATTTTATAGGTCTTCCGTATTCTTATTCAATTTTTTATGAAATATCAAAAAAAATTTCATTGATCTACCTAATTCTTCCGAGTAATCGATCAATAGAGTTGAGTAAGGTAAGGTCGGAATTTACGAGAATCAAAATTTGAACACCCCTACGCCTTACCCACTTGAGATTTTATTATTGGTTGGTGATACTATATCATCAATAGTGACATGATGTCACTGTTACATTTAATATTCACTTAGAGGCACAAAAATACACACTTTTTTAGTTTTGTGAATAAAATAGAGTGACCCCCCTTGATTTTTAGATTTATCTGCTTTCTACCCCTAATATTGTTATATTACTATTTTACCTTTAAATTTTCAAAGATGTAATGGTAAAAGTATTTTTAATCCTTACCATTTTTTAAAATTAAATTTAAATTTTGATAAAAAAAAAAAAAAACTCTTAAAAACTTTCTTCAATACTAGACACATACCTATATCAAATGAAGGGAGATTCATTTACTACTTAAATTAAGGGAGATTAAAATTCATACTCAAATCTTTAATAGTGAGATTACACCCTCCTTTAAAGATCCAATAGTCAAACGAATTCTCTACTCTATTTTTTTTTTTTTTGGAATAGAAAAAATATATTTTTGTCTTTTCATCTAAGACATTCAAGATAAAAATATATCTCCATACTAAAAAAGAGTAAATAAATTAATAAGAATAAATAGTCCTATTAGAGTGATATACACAAATTTACTATCTATTTAACTTTTTGTCAAAGATGTTCTTTATTTCAAAAAAGATACTCTCTATTTTAAAGAGTACTATCGAACATACTCTGCACGAGAAAAAAAAAACCGAATCATTATACTCAAAATAGCTGGTTAGAATATGAGTATTATAACTTCCACAAATTTGAATTCTCAAGAAGTTGCATACAGAGGTCCATAACTTCCACAAATTTCCAGAAAAATCTTCTTCGCATCACAATGCTATACAGAGGTCCAAAACTTGCAGCCTGTAATCAAAAGATGGCAACCCAGTCATCCATAGTGTAGGATTTGAACTAAATATGCGTAGCCTTTTCCCGTATGCACAAAGGTTATTTTCGCAACTCAAAAACACGATGCTCAAGTCATAACAGAGCAATCGTACTCTTACACTAAGATCTGCCCTCAAGGACAACAAAAAGGACAATACAATTGAGTAGTGTAATACACAAAATCATTGGAAGGGGGAACGAACTACCTCAAAAAGAAAAATACGGGGGAACGAAATGTATATTTGTATATTGGTCTAAAACAAGCTCCTCGTGCTTGGTTTGAGAAGTTTAGCACCACATGACCAGCATCCCTTCGCCCAGTTGTGAACCAGTATGAGCATCAAATACAGCAGGTCAGGGTCCTTATGACACAGTATTCACCTCTTGCTTGGTAACTGTGAAGTGATGCATGCTAGAAGAGCCACATAGTAAGAAGTTCGTTATGTAGACAACAAATTGATTGCTACTCTGAAATCAACTCCGAGATTTAAACCTGCGACACCATTTTACTAGAAGCTCTTCGACATCAGCATCCATTCGAGTCCCGATACCTCCCCAGACTAACATGTGGGCAAGGTCTCCAACTGAGGAACCAGTTACCTCATGCACAACCTTGAACCCAATTCTTGTGTAAAACCTGACAAGCTGAGAAACAAAAGAACTGAAGGTCAAGATCAACGAGAAAGTGAGCCTTTCAACCACAGTCAATCTTATTTGATTCTTGAACAATATGATCAACCTTATTAGCATTGATTTTTAGAACCATTGCAAGAGCCTCCTAGTTGCTGTTACAACCATTTTAGTGACATTATGAGACACATCGATCAGAGACTGGCAAAGCAACAACATTGATTGGACAAAAGTTTTTTCAGGCTTCAGCTTTGATTTCAAAATGGACCCTTATGTTAGTGTAATACTCAAAAAAAACTTCAAAACACGTCTTTACCATAACAGGACAAGTTACAACAATTATCAGTTGATGTGGAAATGACGTCCGACAAAATTCAGCTGGACTGGTATAAATAACAGTGACAAGCGCAACACCCCTAGGCGCGACGCCCCTAGTACGACGCTCCTTGGCGCAACGTCTTCAAGCACAATACCGTATTAGGGCAAGATACATCTCCATCGCATTGGAAGTGACAAAATGGATCTTTCACCAAGGCTAGACAGAAATGAAATCGCAGAAGTGTGGGGGCAACCTTAGCGAGACTCGCCTCCCCTGCTGCAGGAATGGTATCCTCAACTTATTGAATGTCTTTTTTCGACTGGCCCACTGAACTAAAAGATGTCCTCGCCTAGGGACATGGGAGTAAGGTCATCCTCAAGGGAGAATTGAGCAATAGGGGCGGATGAGCACGATTGTCGACCTTGACCAGAGATAGGGTCTCGAAGGTTTAGTCTGCTCAAGCAGGCCTCTCAGTGTATGGCTCACTACCCACTTGGATGTGCTTGACTAGGATCCAGAGAGACTCCTAAGATAACTGAGGTTATTGGTCCGAATCAGTATATGGGATGATGGAACATGTGGATTGGTGGCTGAAGAACGGAAACTATGTGAGTTTCCTCTATTAGGCACCTCGACAAAGATCTCGAGGAAGGGTCTAGAGAGGGAAAGAACCCCGGATAGGAGCACGCTGGAGGCATCACGGACATGGCTCTCTCGAGGTCGTTGTCCTATGGTGACCAGTTGCGGTCATAGACCTTGGGAGCCCGCTCTCGCTTTGGTTGTTGCACCTTCCTCAGGGCCACGTCTAGGTTGCGTTAGGGAAATATTACATCTGCCAAGTTAATGTTGCGACGCATGACTCGTGTTAACGACCACTGATATCGTTGCGGTCGAGGCAGTTGTGGGTACGCACAAGTGATAAGGAGCTCGCGGCGGGCAACCCCTTGGGCAGCCGAACCTGCCCGGGCACTGTGCTATAAATGCTCATATTACTTGTCCGTGGGGATGATTTTTTGGCTAGTGAGAGCATTTTTCACCTACCATCTGCCCAACTAGTTCGTCCCTTCGTTAACAGGCTGTTCGAGTTCCTTCCATCCCATCCACTTATCCTATTCACCCGCTTTGATTACCCTTGGCATAGACACGTATGTCAATCTCTTTTAACTCCCCACCTATAGTTAGAAACTGATTCTGGTTTGAAAAATTGAAGTTTGAGGCTTCTATCAAAGCATAACAACAATCTGGATAAGCTATCTCAAACTTGTCTTATTTGATTTCCCCAAAGTTCTGCTGGTTAATTTAGTGTCTCACTACCGAGACGAAACTATTATAAATAGGATAAATATTATAAATGGCTCTTAAACAAGGACTCTGATTTTAAAATATATCATAATTTTCAATTGTCTCAATTTAATTCTTGAACTTTTCGGGTCGCCTTGAACCCAATTATCGCATTAAAGCCTTACAAGGAGAAACCCACCCTTTCAAGTTGTATTGTCTTTACTTAATTTGGCTTTGGTTTTAAGAACCACTGCAGCAACCTCCTAGACTCCTAGTTTCTTTGTACTTTGCAGCCATTTAGAGACTGTAATATTTTTTTGCTTTGATTTCAAAATGGACCCTAATGTCAGAAACTGATTCTGGTTTCAGAAATTGAAATTTGAGACAGCTGAGATAGCACAACAACACACTGGGTAAGAAGTCTCAAAATTGTCTCACTGTATGCTCCCAAAGTCTTGTTGACCAATACCAGTATCAAGGTACTATAATTGTTCTTTTGGGTAATGGAAAATCAATCCCTATTATTAATATGTATCCGTTTATATGTTTATCTCACATCAGTTAGATTAGGAAATCTCACTACTCTCTTATAATATAAATCAACCTCCTCATGTAAATGGTAAATTACACCAAAACAATATATAATAGATATTCGTATTCTGTTATCTTCTTTCACATGCTACAATATACATTTGTTGTTCATTTTTTATCCTCTTCTTTCACAATATCTTCACAGAGGCTTATTCACCTAATTGTTATCGTGATTTAGTCAAACTCCAGTTGGCATATTTGATCCCACCTTGAGTTTGAGGAGAAGAAGTTAATGTTTATATGTTTGTCCCACATCAATTAGACTAGAAAATCCCACTATTCTCTTGTATTATAAATCACCCTCCTCATGTATACGATAAAGTACACCATAGTAATATATAATTAATATTCGTTTTCTATTCTCTTCTTTCACATCTATCACTATTTATTGGCCATGTGATTGTAACAAATCTGGGGTGCAACTAATTACCCACAAAGCGTGTCTGGGGCACATGATTGTAACAAATCTTGGATGTAACTAATCACCCACAAAGTCACGTGCATCAGTTGATCTTGGGTTTCATATTGGAAATCAATTATTTTATATACAAAATTACGTCTTGCCTTTACTAAGATAAGAAGCAACACTATTATTGATTAGGGCTAATAATCGAGTCTGACTTAAAAATTATTCAAGTTTAGCTCGTTTAAAAAATGAGTCGAGCTTAAGTAACTCGACTATTTGACGTATAAACGAGCCAAGCACAAGTCAAACTTTTTTAGACTTTTTTTTTAAACGAGTCTAAAATAATTATATACGAACCGAACCCGAATCAAATCTTATTAAAACATAGCCCTAGACTCAACTTTTAAGAGGGTAAATAGGATGACAGAAGGATTAAAATAAAAAAAAAAAAGATAGCAGAGAGGACAAGAAGAACCTTGGAATGGTAAAGATTAGCGTCATTGATGGCGAGTAACTCAGCTGTCCTACAACCACAATCATATCCATGTCGTATAGCCACGGCTCCAATGAAAACACCAATGCCAAAGATCGATTTCTCCATCCCCAATGTCTCTCTCCTCAATCTGATAGAGTCCAAGTGAAGAATCTTCCCCCCTAACCAAACCCTTATCAGTCCCTCAGCCCTGCCAAGCTCTCTCTGGGTTTCCAAGCTTTTGGCTATGATTCTGAAAAAGGGTCCTAGTGTTTGGAGCTGAAGGTGAAGGTTTTGAGCTTTTGATGAGTCCATGATTTCAGACATGGTGGGTGTGGTGGATTCAATGTCAGTACCACTCTGCTCATGTGGGTTGGTGGTGGTGGTGGTTCTGTTGAGGGAATTTGGATGGGCTTTAGGTGTGGCTGGGTTGGGAGAGGAAGAAGATAGTGAAATTTGGGGAGGTGAGAAATGGTTGCAAGAAGATGAAATGATCTGGGTTCTAGTTGATGTCCTTAAATTTGGGAAATAAATTTTGGACCTTGGAACAGTATGTGTTAGTTCCATTTCTGAAATCTACGTGATGGTGCTGGCGCTGAATGAAGAGAATTGAAAACACTAATCTTCTTCCATTGAGTTGCTGGATGAGCCAGCCAATTTGGGGCTTGAAATTGTGGGTATTTGTTGTGGTTTTTTTTTTTTTTTTGGGGGGGGGGGGGGGGGGGGGAAGAGATAATTTGCCAAAGATGTATTATGTAGTTGAGTGACACGTGGCAGATACAGGTTAGGCATGCATAATAATCTTATTTAGACCTAAAAATTTATTTTAATCCATAGATGAACAAGTGATACAATATCATGGATAAAATAAATTTTAGTATTGAAAGTATGCATGTAGTGTGTATATTTGGTCTTCAGTCTTTCAATTGTATTTATTTGATTTTTAAGATTTTTAATTTGTATTTATATAGTTCAATCCTAAACGTTTGTAAAAAAAAAAAATTGACGCCTCTGCTCACCTGCCCAATCATGTGGGATCAAATAGACACAAATTAAAACTTTTAGAGATCAAATAAATACAAATTAAAAATTTTAAGGAACAAATAGATACAAATTAAAAACATTAAAGATCAAATAAACACAAAATTCAAAATCGTGTGATTAACGCGTGATCAAAACAATCACGAATTTTTAACGGATGTTTGAGATTAAATTACGTAGATACAAATTAGAAATTTTAGAAACTAAATAGACACAATTAGAAGATTGAGAACCAAATTAACACTAAACACATATTTTATTTGGTCTCTAAGGTTTTTAATTTGTATTTATAATCTACTAATTAAAATTTACCATAATGTTATTAAATCATTTAATGTCCACATCACCAATACAATTTTCAAGTAAAATTTTAAATTTCTATATCGTTGGTCTTTCTGTAGGTACCGAGAGGGAAGATTAGATAGTTTGATTCTAATGGAAGACAATGGCGTGGCAATGCAATTACCCAATTCCTTGATGGAAGCCACCAAGAAGCTTAAAAGTACCAACAACATAGCATACTTAAAGGGCCAAATGACTTGCCTGCTATAAGTTTAAAACACCCTTAAGACAATTACACGTTTTGAAGTACGCATAAATTGATTCAAATATTTTAAATTATAAAAAAAATAAAATAAAATAAAATTATACACTCTCAAATTTGCTTAAAGTTACATATTAACAAGGATGATTTTATTATCACCGTATAAATTGAGATACAACAATGTTGGTACGACAATCATTTCATGAATAAGTTGATTTCTCGCTACTATATACAATGGGAGCAAATGTACAACACTAATTCTTCTGACTTGTCTTGACAAAAAACATATCAATAGGCAGATGTTTACCACCCGTAGGAGATGACTTGTGCTTCTTTTTACAGGGGCTATGGCTCACAATGTGATCTTTCCGGATAAACCTGACATAATTTGATTATATCAGATTCCAAAACTTCTCATTCATATGATGTAGCGATCATTGCTGAATTTGAGAATCACCTTTATGTATATATATATATATATATATATACTTCAAGATTATTAAGTACACATGACAAGTGGAAAAAAATGAAAAAGCATTGCGACTTAAATGGTATTGCAATCTCTCATAAAAGCATTAGAGAGCAATTGAAAATGGTTCAGTTCTTCAACCCCTAAATTTTTTAGCCAAGTAACCTGAATCACGTCTACACTCGAGAGAGAGAGAGAGAGAGAGAGAGTGTATGTGTTGGGGGGCTGGAGAACTTGACACTTCCACTTTAACGCTCCCAAAAGGCTTACAAACTTCAAGCTGATTCATCGAAAATGAAAAATTACCTCTGAAATAAATCAAATGCTCATTGACTAGATTAAAACGTGAGTTTGCCTAATCCAGGATGCGAATTGCCATAATATTACACTCAGGATTTTGAATTGTGAAACAGAGATGGATTTGTCCCCCTACCTGGAGAATGGTGTACCCTTGGGGTAAGACTTAAAGAGTAAGACAAGGAACCCAACCCTAAATCAGAAAGACATAACAATTCAGTAGAGGAAAATGATAAACCCAGCACCATTTCCCTGGTCTTTCAATCAGTGTGAACCTCCTCACTAATCCTACCCGCAGTGAGAATGCAAATTTTCCCTGTAGTTCTGAAAAATTATTATAAGATGTATTCTCCAGATGCGCATCACTTTATTTGCCTTATGTTTCAGATGTCGTAAATGCAAGTCATTTGACTATGACATTTACAATTTCCTGGAATTTGTTTGTTGAAAGAAAACGGCAAGGAATTTGATCCTGATGAAACTTATATAGCCAATCAAAACACTATTTCATCATGCAAATGGCAGGAATAAATGTGTTACCTCTGCTTCAGCATGAGATCAACTGATTCCTCCTGCTGCAGCCTTTCAGCAAGATGAAAATCAGAATGTTCTTGTCTTTCCTCAAGAAAACTGAGAGGCAGTTCAACCCCACAAAGCGAACACTTGTAATCATTCACCCAAAAGAAGGGCTCTTTCCGATTTGCTGAAGACCCTGCTTCATTGCATGACATGTTTGCACTCTCCTTCAGTCTATCTAGGCTGCTTCCCTCAAATTGTTCAGATAAAGAAAAAGAATCCGTCTCCACCAAATGTGAAGCTCCAGTATCACAAGGCTTCAGTTTATTCCCCATCATGTTGGCGTCCTCAACCTGAGTGAGGAGAAATATGTATGAATAGGTGTAATCTTTAGCATCAAAACTGGAAGAAACTATGCTGCATATGAATAAGGCACGTGAAAGTGATGAACTACAAATCAATATTTCAGCTTCATACGCACCTCGTCATTAGATTCATTGCACAGAGGTCTGTGACATGGCTCAATTCCTGCAGTATCATAGCTTAACATGCAGTCACCGTCATTAAGACCTGATGTTTGATTGCAGTAAACCGGAACAGCATAATCAGAAGATGTCATCTGGTTCTCATTAGGAAGATCAGTCTCTGTATCTATCAAGAAAAGGCTGTCACTGGCATCTGAACCCAAGGGCAGGTTGTCACCCATGTTTTTTCCACAAGCATCTCCTGATATAAGATAGTTGGAGATAGTTTTTTGCGTAGGATCAGACTGAGCACCATTCTTGTCTTCATTAAACTGAGACATTCGCAGTCCTGACAGAAGAAAACAGAGAAAATGCTTAACCCTGCATGCTTATGTTAGGGCAGTGTGTATTGACCCAATCTTTAAACAAACAATTAACAATTTACAAAAAATTACACGAAATCCCTCTGACCTATGGGTGTTATTCACTTAATTCCCCTGAAATTAAATAATAAAAAAGTCAACCCCTCGGTTTAAGTGACTGACATTCAACCCCCTAAAAATAGGTTTCCATCAAAAAATAATGGAAAGGTATCAAATGACTGTCCCATAAAGATATAACGTGGCGCCATACCTATCAGTCTCAAAGATACAGGAACTTCAGCCTTCAGCAGCTTTGAAGCATGCTTCAAGATATCTTCACTTGAACAAATATATTTTTGCAAAGTGACAGCCCGAGTTCGAATCTGGAGATTGCAGATTTGTCAGTAAACATTAGCACACAGTCCAGCAACTGTCAAAGATATTACTTTAAAAAACGAAAAAAATAAAAGGATAAAAGAAAAAACAAGATGTCCATGATCCAGAAATCATCAAGAAGCATCTCTCGGATTGAGTACACATAGAAAACAGCAGCCTGAGGTTCTCCAAAAAGTATTGAAAGTACCTCAAAAGATGCAGTTTTCAGTTTTAATGTCAATGTTCGCCCATAAAGACCTTCTTTTTTCATGTCAGCAGAAAGCATCTCTGCAAGATCCACTGCAAACAAAAACTTGAAATGGTTCACATTTGGAAGGGATAGTCAAATAACTTGACTATTGAAAGCAACATATTAGCCTAATTTCCAGGCTTAGGGGGCCACCATCATCTAAAGTCCAAGAGCATGTCTGGACATTGGACCTTCTTCAAACAGGCCTTTTAACTTTAACAAGTAGTGTGACACCCTAAAATCCGGGTGTCTGTAAGTACCCGATTGATCATCCATTTTGCATTGCATGTTAAATGTATTAAATGTTACATGCTATGTGTTATGAGATTATATGCATGATTAAATGTGTATAGGAATGAGACACTACGGTTAGAAAACATAACCTTAGAGTCGGGAAACGAAAGGAAAGGATGTGTAAGCCTAATGTTTAGACATCTGCCGATAAGTATATATTCTACTGTTTAATTTTTGATCCATAACTTTGGGATACTAAGTTATTGGTCTATTGCTATCTTGTGTGTGTGTAGATGACAACTAGAGGAAGGGGACGTTGGGGGTGGACGGAACAACCAACCACCACCACCGGCTTTTGATCAACAAGCCTTTATGGAGGCTATGAGTACGATGACTACTATCTTCTTGCAAGCTAGTGCGAATGTGGTCCAAGGAGGCTAAAACAATCTTCAGAAGTTTAGGTCCCATAACCCACCGACTTTTGTAGGAGGAGGGGATTCGATGGTAGCTGACAACTGGTTCCAACAGGTGGACATTGTAAATGGTACCAAAGGCAATTACACGTTGAATTGCATTATGCATGAATTGCATTACATTCATGGTCATTCACATGGGTGAGAGTGTGTGCAAGGTATGAAATCAATCACCACATAGGTGGTTGATTGTGGGCTTAGAAAAGTCGCACCAAGGTCCGGCTGAGTCACACGGAAATTAAATGGATAAACGTGTCGGGGATAACAAAAAGGCTAGATTCTCCCTCGGGTGCAAGATCCGCTTACTTGGTTTATACACTTTCCGGCGGTGAAATTCCAGAAAAGTGTAACGGCCAAAACGAAGCCGCAGGTGGAATGTCCTGAGAATCCGTTGATGGTTAGTGTCCCATTAGTGTAATACCATAAATCATCTCCCCACAAAGACACAAAAAAATAAATTACTTAGTCATTGAGTTTACATAACACTAATGACGGGGCTTAAAATGTCCGAATACATACGCATGACATTGCATGTGTTGTAGGATCTCAAGATGGGGCTCGGTGTTGGTATTACTTGCGTGAGTCTCATCTCATTGCATGACATGATTTATGATATTTATTCATAATAGACATATTTGAATGACTGCATGAAATGATTGTTGCATGTGACATTTCATATGCATTTAGATTGAGAGGTATTTTCTATAGGAGTTACCCTATTGAGTGTTGGCTCACCCTTTATAGGAACATTTTTCAAGTATTGCACAGGCGTCCATTGAAGGCGAGGCCATGGGCCAGCTTTGACGACAGAGCTGGTTTGTGGCTCTTCTTTTGACATCGTAGTCCCTTGTTTATATTTACTTTTGGCCTTAAATAATTTTTGTAACAAAAACTTGTTTATGTTTAAAAGACATGTATAAGGGACTCTTTTGAGACATTTATTTTTTTATGAATGAATGTACGTAATGATGATGATTATAGTAGTATCTGATACTATACTAAAGAGTAGGGATGAATGGGTCTGGTGTGGTCAATGTTATACGATTGCACAGGTTGCGTTTTGGGTAGAGCTCCCCGTACAAATGAGACTCTGCCCAAATTTTGTTAAGTTATGGATCTCGGTAAATGAGGCATAACGGCGTGGTATCGAATTACACGGTATCCGTGGGTATTCCGCAGGTTGATGGGTGATCGAATTTTGGAGTGTCACAAGTAGTCTATGGGATAGAACGGAGAGACTGCGTTTGGGGAGCTCTTTGCTAACCGAGGGCATCACTTCCGATTTTGTTGTATCACTTCCCTGATCTGGCTCAAAACTAGCTAGGCATCTTCCTCAATTTTAACATGCATCTCATTCCACTTAAAAGGAGTGCATTATCCATAAATGAGATGAGAACAATTACCCAATTTCTGATGGAAAAATGCCTCATCCGCAGTAGCTGAAAATGTTCTCTCATTGCTAATACTTTTCCGCAACTTAGCTTGAGGGGTGTTTGTCCCCCCAAGTCCCAAACCCACAGAAAGGAAAAAACCTACAATAAAAGAGACAAGATGATCAAGATAATAAGTCTAAAAATTATACCATGAATGCGAAAGAGGTTACTTTGTACCCAAACCACTCCTCCCAACACCCTAAATTGACAGGACTAACACTATGTAATAGCTTTAATTTACATCATCACCTTTTAGACCAATACCAAAGTTTCTTGGCAGTCATCATTAGCACAAAGGACCTCAAAAATTACAAATTGCATAGCAATCATTGAAAAACAGAAAAAAAAATAAGTAGCAAATGTGAAATCCAAACCGGGGAGGGGGGGGGTTCAATTGTACAGAAAGCATAGGACAAAAAAGTAATTTATGTAAGTTCTAATCTTTCTGCGATGTTATAACATTCCTACATGCACATTGCAAGCGATGATCAGAGAAAGAGACAGAGGTATGCAATAATTTTGGGCAAACCTGCAGAGGAAGGAGAAAACAGTGCAAAGAGGACACTACTCTTTAGCAGCATCTCCTCACAAGTCGAGATTCCAAAAACATCCTTCAAAACATGTTCAGTAACCTTACCAATGCCCCCTATCTGTAAATGGAGTGTTTCAAAAACTTAAGAAAAACAGTTGTCTCAAAACTAATACTTCAAATCTGCTACATTGAATCACCGGATGCTAGAAAGTACCTTCCGTATAGGAAGAGATGATACAAATGTCATCACAGCCATCCGATCATTTGGTAAAACAAACTGGCCATTTGGCTTGTTAATATCAGAGCATATCTGATAAAAGGAAAGACATGGAAGACATATATCAAAAAGCACAAAAAGAATAAAGGGAGAAGAAAGTAAAAATATCTATTTCTACTCATATTTGTAAGGAGAAATGGACAGCTTATTAATGTACTTTATCCAAAGACAGATCTTCTGCTAATTATAGGCATCCACATCTTCTCTAAGATTTCACTTTTACATTTAATTTGATGCTGTCCGTATCATAGGCAAATCCAGGGAAGCACCTCATTGTTGCTGTCAAAGTGTTGCTGAAAACAATACCTTGCCATGTCACCTGTTTCTTCGCCTAATGGGTTACTTCTGCATTTTTCCGCAATATTCCACTTATATCTGGTCTTTACACCCTTGCCACTCAACCACTGTAACAAATATGGTTTCCCAATTGTCAAGCATATTGCCCAATACTTCATTTGGGCAATCATATTGTTTCACTCTGTTTGATTTACATTACCAACTTGCCCATCCCCACTAATTTATCACTATCATCAACAGATGGGAAATCCTCCCAAAGTTTTGTCTAGAAAGATTTTGGTATAGATGTTCCCAACAGTTGTCACTCCAAGACATGCACAGAATACTATAAAAACTAAATAGGATTTGACAACCAGATAATGATTTTTTCAGGAAAAAAAAAATTCCAACATGATGGCATGAAATGGATATCCATTCCATAGGCCATAAGTGACTAAGTGTGTTAAGTGGAATCCATGTAGGTTGCATGGGTGTTGTCCATGAAGTACATGATGCATAAACTATCTGACATCACAGATCCAATTATTCCATTCAGCATAAGCCTACAACACCTTAGCAAGTAAGCGGTTAGGTGCCACTCCGGCACTACAAGTGAGACTGGTCTCTTCATAAACACTGGTTCTGAGTTCTTCAGCGACCTTCACAAAAGCAAAACACAAAAGAGAAGAAGTAATTTAAAATGGCATCATAATAAAATTTAAGACCATAAAGATGATATTAAAATGTCACCCAAGGAACATTGCCCCCCTCCCACAAAAAAAAAAAAAGGAAAGAAAGAAAGAACAAAACAGAAAAAAAAAAAAAAATGCTGATCTCCAGGGCAATTTGTGTATTGCATTTTCTAACTTACTTCTCCACCTGTTATGGCCCTTTCTTTGCAGATTTTTGTTATATCAAGGTATGCCTCATCCAAACTAGTTGCCATGAAGCCGGAATCATAGTTCTGAAAAACTAATTTAAAAAAGCACATCCAAATGAAATTCATCAGCACAATTCAACAACCAGTGCATCCAATGGTGGCCACAAGCAAGAAACCTAACCTTTTCTAGTTAAATCACTGTAGTGAATATACTTCTTAAAGTCTACAGGGACCAAAATCAACCCTGGACATAACCTACGTGCAATGAAACCAGGCATTGCAGCACGAACCCCGAATCTCCGTGCCTGTAAAGCAGGATAGTGGATCAAAAGTTTAAAGAAGTAAATCTTTTAAAAAAATTGCAAATTCAATCTTGTATCAACATGCCCTCAAAAAAATAGTTACCCTAGGATTCACAGTCCCCTTGAGAACTTAAAGGAAGCAATTCAAACCTCATAATTAGCAGTGGAGATCATAGACATGCCGCCAACAGCCATTGGCTTGCCTTTTAAAGAAGGGTTGCTCAATGTTTCAACAGCTGCATAGAAAGCATCCATATCTACATGTAGCCAAATCCTTGACAGATCACGTGTAGCTTCTAGCTCTAAAATCCTTTTATCAGCAATCTGAATATCACATGAAAACAATAAAATTAACAATTGCATAACTTCACGGAAGCTAGTTTACATACCCCAAAAAAAAAAAAAGGGAAGCAGTGTAAATAGTTAAAATAAAAAGCATGCATAATATAAAAAAGTACCATTTGGTTGGCTATCTCCCACATAATCTTTACAGGAACTGAATTATATCTTTATCGATACAATTGGATTGGGTGCACCACCATTGCTGAGTTTGGGCAGGGTTAGAAGTACACAAGAGAGGCTATTTCCAGCTCCCAATGGAACAACCTTACCATTGCACCCAGGCCCGTACAATTGGATTAATTTTAATAAATCTAACTATGAAAAATTATATCTTAATCAATGATGTGATACAGTACAATGCGATTACGGCACTGATTCAAACCCAATTATATACATCTTTTTTAAGTCAAATCCTTACATACCTTCTGATAATGAGATATGTCCGCAGCAGTGAGTTTAGCGTATCGAGCACGCATGTTTTCGATTTTCTGCTTCATATCGGCCTCCTTCTTTTCCTCATTCTGAAAATACTTTGATCCTTTGCTCATCTCATAAACAATTCTTTGAACTTTTTCCTTATCAACACCATCCATTCCTACAGTATAAATTTCCATCCCAACATCACAGTCATTATTTTCATTAATATATAAAATTACTTGTGAATTGGCATAAATCAATTAGATGAGAGAGAGAGAGAGAGAGAGAGAGAGAGTAAAGTGAGTGTAATTGAGCAATTGCGATATAGTCAACCTAGAGACAGAGAGTCCGTGGAAACGATGTCGTACCTGCTTTGGCGTAGTGTATACAGTGTGATAGGACTGCCATGGCCGAAAGGAATCGTCCTCTGAGGTCTCACTCTTCTTCATCTCTCTCTCTCTCAGCCAGCCTTCGCCAATTGATTAATTTTTTCACTCTCTTTTCATCTTCTCGAGCAACCAAAGCAAAAGCAAGAGAGATGCAGCAAGAAAAAAAAAAAAAAAAGAAGAAGGAAAGAAAACGTTCACTTTTTGGGCCAAAATTTCTACCTTTAACTTCGGCCCAATTAGTCCCACGGTCCAGCCCATAACTAAGCCTTGATATTCATTTAGTAGTATACTATCTATCACTAATTCATATAAAGCCCCACAATTTATGGGAGTTCTCCAATTTTATGGTGAATGATTTACTCTTGAGTGAAATGGAAAAAAAAAAGTATTACAGAAATTGCACTCTAGTTTGAGAGTATAATTAGAACTGGTTTGTTTGAAAAAGTGAGCGATCTCGTAAAAAATGCGTACAATAATTACTTGACATAAATCAGTTTAAATTCTATACAAACTCGATTACGCTCGATGTATACACTATAGGAATACGATACGATATAAACGTAATTATATAAAATTACAAATGAATCAATTAATGGATCACAAATTTTTATATATAACACACCTTGAAATTAACATCTAACGGGTTTATGCAAATAGGTTGAAAATATCCCAAATAGTAGTTTTTTTTTCAGTCTAAGATAATAAGAAAAGAAATCGATACAAAAAATAGAAATCTGAAATTATTAAATATCAAAACTATTTTAGCACAAAGCAACAAAACTATTTTAGCATGTTTTTGAGACAGACAAACTACAACACAACTCTTTAAAAGGAGAAGTCTCTTACCCGTCATAAATACATGCACACACACCCTAAGGCTATTTTATTACGTTGGTAAAATGTTATCTCTAATTGAATTCCTTTTAGTACATTTTTTCGTCAATTTCTCTCAATGGAAATTCTATGTATTCCAAATTTGTAATTCAAATTTGTATCTTACATGAAGGGGGATCATTGGATCAGTGGGTCCCGTCAACTTTTTAAAATGGGACTCACTAATCCAATGGTCCTTATTCATTTGAGATATAAATTTGAGTTACAGATTTGGGTTACATAGCATTACTCTTCTCTCAATGACTAATCACTTATTATAAATTAAAGTGAGATCCACTATATATAAATGAACTGCCTACAATATACATTGAATTAAAAAGTGTATTAAAAATAATTTGAATTCATAATCTCCGAAATAAATGTTGTGTTTTTAAATGCTTCCTCAGAAAGGTAAATAAGGTGGACAGAAGCAATGAAGTTTCCTTCCAAGTTCTTGAATTCTATAGGGAGAGTCTCTTAATGGTCATAAGATTTTTCTTCTTATACCCATTACTACATTAAAGAGTTCATAAATGCATTGCATTAGAGCTTGCAATTTAAGCCATTACAAAAACATGAGAACAAGCACATTTTCTAGAGTAGATAGCCATGAATCTATAATGTAAGCTTAAGCTCTTCTCCCCCTCCCAAAAAAGCAAGGTTCATCCGCAAGGAAAACTCATGTTTCACCTTTTATGAGAGTAAATCCTTTTAAAGCAATTGTTGTTCATATGTGGATCCGATATCATGGAGATTGTGCCAAATAGGCAGCCACAGGAATTAGCTTGTTGACTCTCCGAACAAGGTCAATAATAGTTTTAGTTTAACAAGAAGTTCGTTTTAGATCTCATTTCTAAAAAAAATTCAAAAATTTACTATGTTTGAGTTTATAACCCTTGCTATAAATGGATGGAAGCTCATTAGATTACACATTTTCATCTTAGTAAAAGAAGATTATGTGGAAAAATTTATCAAGAGCGTGAAATATAGATTGCCGTAGGTGAAAAATTTGTCTGACGTTTCAGTTCTTTTTTTTTTTTTTGAAAAAACAAGCATCTACCATAATTTAGATAGGATTTATCAACGGTTTTTTAACGACTAATAAAGGTGAGTAATTGATTCACAAAATATATAGAATCAGAGAGACCAAACGTATTTAATAAATAGTCAAATACTCTTTTGACGATCAACACAATTATACATATGTCAAATTGGCTTGCCCCTTGGATCTAGATCTAACCTAATAGTAATTCAATCAATTCTCCACAGGTTCAAATGGGACTCGTTTTATTTAAATAAATTCTTCACCGATATATAATGAATGATCTAGCAATAAACTTGAGGAATTGAATAAAATTAGTGTCCAAAGACATCCCATTTCTTAAAATTGGCTACAATCTCATGTCATGAATTGGTAGTTATTATTTCTTACCTTGTACTAGACATCTCTCATACATCATGTGAGTCTTCCCCAACGCTTATGTATACATCTTCATAGAGTCGTGGACTTGCATAGCCATCTCTCCCATCCTTCCATGCCAACAGTCTCTCCTGGTACAATACAATCTAAGATTCTCTCTCTCTCTCTCTCTCTCTCTCTCTCTCTCTCTTCACATTCATGCATGCATATAGATGCTGATTTAGATGATTTTTTTTGGTGTTTTGAAGCACTGGACAGATAAACATGGAGGGTGGACAGAGAGACAATGTGTTTCTACTGCTGTTGTTTTCTCTTCTTTCCTCAGGTTTGTCTTCTCTATACTTTTCTGTTCTGGATCAGGTAGAGAGTTTTTGGCCACAGTTTACAGATAGAGATCTCCTCTCTTTTTCTCTCTCTTCTGGGCTTTTTTTTTTTTTGGTTTCTTTCGGAGGATAAAAACAAATTTGCTGAACTAAGATTAAATTTCTAGCTAAAAGGGTCATCTTAAACTTTTGGCTTGGTTGCGATAGTGGCCACAAAAGCATTGGCAGATCCCAATGCACATCGTTTGAGAATCATTGTATGTATATCGAGTTTATGTTATAGCAACAAATTCAAAGAACGTGTACCTAAAACGAATCTCGATTATCAAAAAAATGATCATATCTTGGATTCGTGGTATGAACGAGATATCCTTCAAGACCTCCTAATGCAGTATACATGGCACAAAGAAAAACTTGTAATTAGTCAATTTAGAATTTTTCTTCGACTTCTTGTAATAGTAGAAAATTTATTATGAATTTAAGTGAAACGTGTTTTATAAAAAAAACTCAGGAACAGCAATCTAGTACTATTACAAAAAATTGAGAGAAAGTTTAATAAAGAAGATCTGGATCTATGTTTTGCAGGATTTTCAGTTCACGGGCTATCCTACGATTTCAATTTCAATGCTGAGGCAAGCTTTATTCAGAACCATTATTTTCTAGCAAATTCTACATGAACTGAACTCTTCAAACTAATATAAATCATGTTCATCCACTTTTTCAGTGCTTGAAAAACCCTCCTAAACCACAGTATGATGGAGGAATAGTCGTAAACCCGGAATTAAATTCTGGCAGGGAGGGGTGGACTCCATTTGGAAGTACAAAAATTGAGACCATATCAAAGAAAGGCAACAAGTACATTGCTGCATTTCATAGGCAACAACCATTTGATAGTTTCTCACAGCAGTTTTATTTACAGAAGGAAATGCTCTACACCTTTTCTGGTATCCATTTTCATTAATCAAAAACAGTGTTAATTACCATGTAAAAGTATGAGCTAAGTTTGGCTTCTTTTTTTTGGGTGACTTTTTTTTCGCGTCGTATTTGTTGCAGCATGGTTACAAGTGAGCCGTGGACAGGCTGAAATTGCTGCAATGTTCAAAGCACCTCCATATTTCATAAGTGCCGGTTCTGTTACTGCTCAATCTGGTTGCTGGTCCATGCTTAAGGGTGGCCTCTATGTAAATTCTTCAGGCCCGGCTGAGCTGTATTTTGAGGTATATAATTTCACTTTCATGGTTTGATTTTGATAGTGTGATTTTCCCAAATTTGATTTTAAAGGGCGTGACTCGTCGTTGCGGGGTCTGAAGAGAATTAGATGTACGCAGACTTACATTGCAAGTAGACAGATTATTTCTGCGATTCAAACTCACGACCAAATTTGATTTTATTCTAAAAAAAGCCAGTTCAGAAGATTCAAGATTTTAACTGTTTGTTTCTCTTTCAGAGCCACAATACAACAGTTGGCATACTAGCAGACAGCATTTCATTACAGCCATTCACCCAAGAAGAGTGGAAATCTCATCAAGATCTAAGCATTGAGAAGGTAACTTTTTTTGGACACCTTCCTTTCTTAAAAAGGAACAAACAGAAATAGAATTATACTAATTCCCGAAATTCCTTTCTAGATATTCCTCAATGTTCCGCTTATTCATTGAATTGTGAGAAGCAGAGAATTAAGCATTTGCTTCTAAAGAAAACTGAATAATTTCTCGAGAATCCTACAAGATCCATTCATTCTTTCTGTATCATTATCGTTGTGATTATTGAGTATTGAGTTGCAGGCCCGAAAGAGCAAGGTGAAAATCCAGGCTATTGATGGTCAAGGCAAGCCTTTAGCAAATGTAACTGTTAACATCACACAGAAGAAGCCAGATTTTCCATTTGGTTGTGCAATGAACGAAAGAATCCTAACCAACACAGACTTTCAAAATTGGTTCACCCCAAGGTTCAAGTTAACAACATTTGAGAATGAAATGAAGTGGTACTTCACTGAGAATTCCCCTGGCAGAGAAAACTACACCATCCCCGATGCCATGCTGCAATTTGCCAAAGAACATAACATCTCAGTCCGTGGCCATACAGTGTTTTGGGATGATCCTCGATACAATAACGATTGGGTTAAATCGCTACCACCAAACGAACTATCGTTGGTTGCTGACAGAAGGATGAACTCTATCATGAATCGATACTCTGGTCATGTTGTTCATTGGGATGTTGTTAATGAAAATCTTCATTTTTCGTTCTTGGAAAGCAAGCTTGGAGAAAATGCATCTGCTGTTTATTACCTCAAGGCTCAACAGCTTGATGGAAAGGCGACGTTGTTCTTGAATGAGTACAATACCATTGAAGAAATGGGCGATGAAGCATCAACGCCAACTAAGTATCTGGAGAAGATTAGAGAGATTCAATCAAAGGGGTATCAGGGTAGTTTGGGAATCGGGCTCGAGGGTCATTTTAGGACTCCAAATCTTCCATACATTAGAGCTGCAATTGATCAGCTTGCAATTGCAGGATCTCCCATTTGGCTCACAGAATTGGATGTTGAAAGCAGCCCCAACCAGGCAAGTTTTTTAATGTCTAATGTTACAAGATTCAATTTGAATTTGTCATTTATTTTAGGATGATCACAACTTTTGCCACCAAACTGAAATCAATGTTCTATTACATGAAAGCTCAAAGCTTAAAAGAGGCCAGGTCATTACCTATCATAGGCTATTAGTTACTCCCCCTCCTGAGTTAACGTGGGATGTAACAAATGAAACTATAGCACCTCCTCACCTCGCAAACCTTTTTGGCCGGCTACTACACTTCACCACCCTTAGAGGCCACACGTCCTCGCGAGGCTCACGTAGGGTTCAGCCCCCACCTTCTGTAGGAGAGTTGGCTCTAATACCACCTATAATGATCCGTTCTAACTGTCAAGATATTGTTTATTTTGAGTGTCCATATACCCTGGCGGTTTTGTTTCTCTGGGGCAAATCAAATCCTAATGAGGTTCCCACCTGCGTTGGAGTTCCAATTTCCATCCGACCTGAGAGATCAAACGAACTTGTCTTCAACTACAGAAGTTCATACAAGGCAATCTCTTGCATTTGACATTGTCTTGCCATTATGCGGTTCAGAGGAAGGTTCCATTGTCTAGGAGTTCCATTTTTCATCCGACCTATTTCCATTAGAACAGTGACCTTGTACCTAGAGCTGATCCGGCTTTTCAAAGCCACTGACAATGCCACAGTTTTGTGCTTTGTTAAACAATTTCTGGACTAGTAACTCCTAACTCGTAAGGTTTTTCCATGGCAAACTGATATCCTATTGTTTGTATATTCTGCAAGCAGGCAATGTACTTAGAGCAGATTATAAGGGAGGCACATGCACACCCAGCAGTGAACGGAATTGTGCTCTGGGCGTCATGGAAACCGATAGGATGCTACGAAATGTGCCTGACAGACAACAATTTCAAGAACTTGCCCACCGGCGACGTGGTCGACAAGATCATCTGGGAATGGACTCACAAGGGCTTGTCAGGCATTACAGATGTTGATGGGTACTTTGAGAGTTCACTTTTTCATGGAGATTATGAAGTCACAGTCACTCACAGGGATGTTTTGGGTGGTTCATCCTTGGCTCAAAGCTTCAAGGTGACTCCAACTGAGAACTCTCATAAACCACTACATGTCAAGGTCTCAGCATGACTGTTTGTTTATCAACGAGTTTTGTTCTTGATTTCAATGGAATTTTGAAGTAATAAATTCCACGAAACAAGATTATATATATATATATATTAGTCATAACGAGCGTCTTAAAAATTGATTTTACTATATTAAATTTTTTAAAATATGTTAATTACAAATTAATTAAATATTAAATGATTAAATATATAATAGAAATGAGTGATTTGATATTTTTAAAAAGAAAATATATAAATAATAAAACATGCGATAAAAATAAGTGATGTAATTTGACGTTTGAGTCTGACAAAAAAATGATGGGTAAGGTAAGTGATTGTTGATGATTTTGAGAGGAAAAATATAACTGAAATAAAATTCAAATACACTATTTTATTTTATTATATATATATATATATTTTTGTCTAAAATGTTGATCAATAATTCCAAGTCCAAATAGACTAAACTTCTTTTCCTCTAACTATTTGGAATTGTTTGAAAATCTCAACTTTTTTTTTTGGAGGAAAAGAAGTTTAGTCTATTTGGACTTGGAATTATTGATCAACATTTTAGACAAAAATATCGTTTATCACCATCGAGAAAAAGTTGAAAAATTGGGGGCTTGTTTGGTTTGTGTTTCAAAAAATAGTATTCGAAAACAGTTTTTTAGAATAATTTTAAGAAAATAATTTTGATATTTTTTGAGATAAAAAATTTGTTTAGTTAAATGATTTCAAAACTAATTTTACAATACAGAAAATAGTAAAACCTGTTTGGACAGCTTAAATATATATATATAAACAGTAATTCAAACATTAACAAAAAAATATAAAAAATTTATTTTTATATTGACAATTTCATAATATATATATATATGGTATATATATTTATACGTATATATTTATATATATACTCATATCTGAATATCCAAAATCGTTCTCCTTGTTTCCAAAATTTTCAAAGAAAACTCTGAAAACAAGCTAAATTTGTTTTTTGTTTCTTTGATTCAAATATCATTTTTTTTTCAAAATTTAGAGAACAAAAATGCTAAACAAACAGGTTTTTAGTGCTTTTGAAATTTTGAAAACAAAAAACTGTTTTGCAGAAGCTAACCAAACACGTCCTAGATTATCCAAGGGATTCCAAGAAAAAAAGTTAATTTTTTCGAAAATACTTCAAGCAGTTTCAAGAGTTTTTTTAACTAACTTTTTAATTTTACTTTTCAAACATTATTTCACACCCCAAAAAAAAAAACTCCAAATAGGCCCATTGTATAAAAGAAAAGGTTTGAGGAATTTATTTTCATAGCTAGACAAGCAATTTGTATGTTGCCATTGGACCCACGTAAAAAAAATAGGGCATTTGATATAGCTCTTATTGGAACATTGTCAATGTCAATCTAGCAAGGGGATGATAAAAGGTCACCAATGGATAGAAATGAAAATTACAAGTTTTGAGCCTTCAGGTAAGTTTTGAGTAATTGCTAAAAACTTGCAATGTATATTATACATTTGAGTAATATTTACTCTAATGAATTGTATTGTTATCTTGAGTAAAATATAGAAATAGCGGTTATAGTATGCACTTTGACACCCTTAAGTTTTCAATATTTTAATTGTGTCCAAGCAATGATCACTCCATTTTATCAACTCTACTCAAATTCGATCATTTGGAAGAGAGCTTTTTTGCTTCCTTTCGTGTTATCTGACCAATTTCGTTGCTCAAATATTTAATTCATTTTACTTTGATCCAATAAAAAACATCGATTTAAGTTGACTAATGAAGGTGTTCATGTACGTCTCACGTGGCTAGACTTGGGTGATCATTTTGGTCCCCGAAGTTTATAATGTATGCCATTTTGATTCTTCACATTTATAATTTGTATTCTTTTAACCCCTTTCATTTCTAAAAATTATTCCTCAGAATTTAATAACCAAAAATATGGGTCATGTTTGATTTAGTTTTCGAAAACTGTTTTTTGTTCTCAAAATTTTGAAAACACCCAAAACATGGTTGTTTAGCTTTTTTGTTCTCCAATTTTTTGAAAATTTTGGAAATTGAAATGTAATTTTTGAAAACAACAAAATAATGTTTTCATTGTTTTCTAAGACAAAATGAAAATAAGGGAAACAACTATCTTCAAATTAATGAGGTTTCCCCTTCGAATTTCATTGGAGACAAAAAGGAGAGACTGTTACATTTTCCCCAAAATCGCCTCACTGAGCTCTCTCTTTGTTCATTCTTCTTCTCCACCTCACTGAGCTTCTGTGTGTGTGGTGGTGGTTGGTGAGTTTCGATGGTGGTTCTGGTTCGATGGTGGTGATCCTGGTTCGATGGTGATTCTGGTTTGATGGTGCACTGTGCTTTGGTGGTGGTCGTTTGGGGGTGGTTGGTGGGTTTCGGTGGTGGTGGGTTCTGGTTCGATGGTGCACTGTGCTTTGGTGGTGGTTGGTGGGTTTCGGTGGTTCCTTGTTTTTTGTGGGTCTTGATGCACAGTGGAAGAGAGAGAGAGAGAGATAGAGAGATGGAAATGGAGATGGAGAAGGAGAGTATTGTCTAAACAAATTTTTATAATTTTTGTTATTTTAAACTATTTTTAAAAATATACAATCAAACAAATTTTCCAATTTAAAAATTTTTAAAAACACTTTCTTAAAACTATTCTCAAAAATAATTTTCGAATACTGTTTTCTGAGATTCAAACGAAACAGGCCCATGTTTTTCCTTATTATCTTTTTATATTAAAATTTTAACCTCCTTAGCTTTTGTTATTTAATTCAAAACAATAAGATGACATGTGAAGGTTTTTAAAATAGAGAGCTAATGACCAACTCGGCATAGTCTGCACCAACTAGCTAGAAGGTTAATGATAAATCTTTAACATGTCTTTCTTTGAGGGTTGTATTCTTTTTACCTACTTTGTTTTTTTTTTTTTTTGAGAGTTTTATTCGTCGCTCTTTTTCGAGTTTGTGATTCAATAAAACTTTATTGTAATAGTGACATATAGAAGACTTGTAAATTGTTACATCTCAAAGAAGGTTGTTTGGTCCCAAAAGTTGAGCTCTATTAGTTTCCAGTGAGAGTGACCAAAACGGCACTTTACTAAACATTAGAGGACCTCACGCCTTGCCTAACCTTCAATGGTGATGCTCATAGCTATTATAACAATCCATACCAACAATGTAATTAAAAACCTGCTTGCTCACAAAATTAGAGTTACCAAGAAATAGAAGAAAGATCACAATCTTCATCACGAGCCAAAAAAAAAGTACAATCTTCGTTAAAACAAAGGCGAGTAAAAAGTCGGGTTTGGAGCATTAATAAGTGTTCCTTCATTCAACACAAGTGAAGTATTGGATTTGGCCCGATGGTAAACGCATAGTCATCCAAGCTATATGTCAGACACTCCTAAATCAGAGTCATAAAGATAGCGTCTCAGTGAAAATTTTGTGTATTGGGTACGACCTTTTTTGCTTAAGGACTTAAAACAAAGTTTGCGCGCGGTACCTTTCATCGTCTTCTTATTGATATGAAACAGGATACAGCAGCCATGATCACATTCATCGCCAAAGAAGTTACATCATCTAAAACTCTTGAAAATCGCATTTCTTGCAAGTCCCAAAATGTTGAAATGCAAAGCCACACCCCATCTACGATTACCAGCAAGTTAGACATTCCCTCTAACACCAAAGCCAGAGAGAGAGAGAGAGAGGGGGGGGGTTATATATACATATAAGAAGAGAATGAATTAATGTATGTCAGAGCAAGAACAAGAACAAGAGTGGGAGTGGGAGTGGGAGTGGGAGTTGAAGTGTGAAACAAAATAATATGTTGCTTCGAGGATGCTTCCTTGATGCATAGTGGGTCCCCAGTTCATGTACACAAACTGTTTGTGTCGTTAAATTTGTTTTACCCATGTGGATGTGGGGGTGGAACTTGGCTTGGCCAACTCGATTTCGACCCGAGCCTAATTTTGAGACTTGGACAAGAGTTTTTAATATTTGAGTTGGACTTGGGTAAAAAAATTTTAACCCGAATTTAATTTGGATGGATCTCGGATTGACCCCTCGGGTTCACAGGTTGAACCCGAATATTAAAATCGGGCTCAACCCGATACAATTTTATAATTTGTACTAGGGTTAATCTGATTTTCTTACCTTTATGGACTATATTTTGCTTATGTTTGTATTCTGTTAAATTGGTTCTGTGTAAGGCAACAGGGTTATGTTTTGCAATAGCAGCAGTGTTGTTATTTCTGTTAAACTAGCAACATTGTTATTTCTGTTAAACTGGTAGCAGTACTATGTTTTGCATTGGCATCAGTGTTTTGTAACTTTGTGTTTTGTATGATTGTGGTTGTATTGAATTCTTAATATTATGATTTTTATGTTAAAAATTTTATTGAACTTGTTGGTTGTTAAATTATTTGAATATTATGTAATATATGTATCAGATTTAGAACATTAACCTGAAATCAGTTCGTAAAGTAACCCAAAATCGGTCCGAAATCATTAACTCACATTCAACCCGAACCCGTCCGATTTAAACTCGGACAGTGTTTGGGTTGAGTTTACCAATCCAAGGTAGGGCTAGGATTAGGGTTGAATATTATATACTCAGTATTGGATTCAAGTTGACTGTCCAACCCGCCCAAATTACACCCATACATGAATGTTTAGACCATGTGGTCCAAACATAATGTAATTTCCGGATAGAGATTAAGGTCCAAGGGAAGACGCGTTTTGTAGGCCAAACCCTATTCAAGTTGGGTCGTGGCTCAGATTTTATTTGTTGATCAAATGCATTCATATCAGAATTTAAAAACGCCTTAACAAGTCAAAATCGGGACGAAGCCGAAACTATCTCATCATTTAACAACCCTACTTTGATGTGTTTCTTACGTATGGAAGAGGGTGTTCAATGCCTTTTGATCTAAGAAATGAGCTGGTTTGTCAACGCCTAAGACTAGGTATAAGCATGCATAAACAACAACCTTAAAAGCCTCCACTTGCCATGTCAACTCTGTC